TATTTATTTTTTTCTATGGAGTTTAGTTAATGTTGCTAATACATGCGAACATTTTTGTGGGAACCACCAGACATCATTTGCAGGTTCATTTCCGGTGTCAGTCTGGCAGTTAAGAGTAGTCTTGAACTATCCTGTTAAAAAACCTCTTTTACTTCCTTCTATAAAGTGTACGAGTGAGGATAAAGAAAAGAAGCAAGATTCCTTTGAGCAAGTATCAGTTGAGCGTTACCCATATTATAGTTATCTGGACTCCACATCTGGGCAGCTTGAACCTGCCTCTGGTGCTCGTGCAAGCATTCCTGGGCAGGAGTACTGGCCCGAAGGCACACATAGTAGAGTGAGAGCTGCCAGAGCTCCTGAACCTTCGGGTGTTTCCACAGGAACTCCGTCTTATGGAAAAAATCCTGGGAGTAGAAGAAAGAAGCACAAGGTATCTGCTGCTACTTCTGAGTCTTCAGTGACAGATGTAATCGCAGATAATCTAGTGGAACTGGAGACTTCAGATGCTGCATCAGAAGGTCCAAAAGATCTCTCCTCAGAGTATGTCGTTTATCAGACCGAACCTGAAGAAGAGGAGCTCAGTGAGTATGAACTGGACAAAAGAGTTGGGAACCCTCACCCTTTTGTTGATCCAAAAGTAAAGAAGCCAATTGAGAAGACACTGACAAGTGAACAACTATGGTGGAACTGGAGAAAGCCAGATAAGGAGCAATGGTCAAGGTGGCAGAGGCGACGCCCTGATGTTGAAACGGTTAGTCACTCAAGTAGTCAAGTATGCTTATTTTAAGCGTGTAATGTTGACATTGGAAGTGCATTCTATTGGCATGAATACTCTAGTTAGTCTGAAAATGTAACAAATAAAATGTGACCTATACAAGGATGATATATGCCCACTTGATTCTCTTTTTTCATTAGAAATTAGTTTTGATACCTTACAGAAAATTGTTGATTTGCTCCCTGTTGAGCATATAGCCATTAATGTGCAGTCCAACTATTAGCTTAGGCTTTTAGTTGAGATGGAGCACATGCTTTAATTTGGTATCAGAACCAGACCAAAGGTCATGGGTTCGAATCTCTAGGTCCACGTGTTGCTTGGAACCCACCGCACACGTGAACATATTAATATGCAACCCAACTATTAGCTTAGGCTTTTAGTTGAGAGGGAGCACATGCTTCAATTTGCACATGCTTCAATTTGGTATGAGGGGCGTATTAATGTGCAACCCAACTATTAGCTTAGGCTTTTAGGTGAGAGGGAGCACATGCTTCAATTTGGTATCAGAGCCAGACCAAAGGTCATGGGTTCGAATCTCAGTGCCACCCAGGGGAGCACATGCTTCAATTTGGTATCAGAACCAGACCAAAGATCATGGGTTCGAATCTCAGTGCCTCCCATAAGCGACTACGGTCCACGTGTTGCTTGGAACCCCCACCACACACGTGAGGGGCGTGTTGATCGTATAGCCATTAATGTGCAATAATCCAACTATTAGCTTAGACTTTTAGTTGAGATGGAGCACATGCTTCAATTCTCCCCTCATCCTCACTGAACTCTAAAGAAGTATTATTATTCATGGGATCAGGTGTTTCTAAAAGCTATGGCAGAGACTGGACAAGTAAAGCTTTATGGTGAGCATCCTACTAGGACAGAGACTGCACTCTACAGAGCAAGGCGACACATATTCAAAGAAGAAAGGTTTTTTTTTTTAGTTTCATGTTCGATCTCTAACTTGGCAAAATGTGTTCTTTAGGTGGTGAAAAAATATGTAATTTTTTTTACAGGCTACAGGCAGAACAAGATAGACTGGAGAAAGTTGGTCCAATTTCGTACTACTCAGAGTGGGTTAAAGCTTGGAAGAGAGACACTTCACGTGAAGCTATTCAAAAGCACTTTGAAGAGACTGGAGAAGATGAGAACAAACAGCTCATTGAAATGTTCTGCCATCAAACTGATCGAGAATACCGCATAATGATGGGAACTGATAACCGTATCCGTCGAGATCCTTTAGCCATGAGAATGAGGGAGGATCAGATAAAACAGAGTATCTTCTTATCTACTTCCTCTCTTTCAGACAAATGAAGTTAAATATCTATTAATCTGCATTGTGTCCCTGCCATTTTCATCATCCATTTACACAGTTCTGGCCATAGAGTTTAAGTTATCAGAAACTACGGTCGATGCTTATAGACTTGACAGGGTTTTTGCCTATTGTTTCTATATGTAAAGTCCTTGTTCTTTCTTCTTTTATTGCACTCTATATAGTTTTCTGATAAGTTAACTTGCTTTTTGTTGCAGTATGGGGTGGAGATCCCGTTTACCCAACAATAAATTACATTCAAGACCCAAATGAGGTGATCGATTTTAGAGGTCCTGATTTTCACGAACCAACACCAGATATGCTTGCATATCTGAAAGAGGTATGGTGTGATAACTTACACTTGAATCTTTTATTTATTAAGTGCTTTGTGCTGTTTCTTCTTATATAGCTTTTGTAATTGATTGACATCTTCGTTTGATTTTTACATTTTAGAACACACAATGGTGTTAGTAATATGCTGCAAAATCAGCTATATGATTCCGTCTTAATGTTGATCAAAATGATTCTGTATCTAAGGTGGCCGGTTTTTTTCCCTTTCTATAAGCATTAAAAATTGGTACATTCCCGTGAAAACTAAGAATGTGAAATACTTCTAGGAATGTGGGTGATATTGTCGTGTTTTTCTCCTGGATGAAACGGATGTTGTTGGACAGTTGTGACTTGTGAGTCCAAGTGTCTATTAGTTTCTCGTCAATCTTGGTAGTCCGAGTTTTTTTTTTTTTTTTTTTTTTTTTTTTGAGTAACGAGGGAAACCCATAGCCACTACCCGAGAGTGTGCATTGGGTAAGCCCCGCCTTGTGACCCTATCCGGCAAAGGAGACCACAAAGAGGTAAACCAACCTAGGTTGCGCATAGCTGACCTGCTCAAACCAAGAAGGCAGGCAATAGGCAGCTCCTACTGGGTGTCAAACTTGTAACGTTGTAGTTACCAAGTGAACAACCTGACCAACTTGGCTGAGATTGCCCCATAGTCCAAGGTTTTTTGCCCCTGCATCGGATGAAGACTTCCAAAATCACTAATAATTTGTGACAAAAGATAATAGAAGCACACAGTTTCTTTTCATTTTTCATATTCATCATATTCTTAATTGGGGGTTGTTTGAACTAAACTAGATTTCACTAAAAAAACAGGGGCATGTATAATCGGATGCAGCATAAATAAATTGTGATTATAATGGCTACTTCTTCCAATAGTATTTTTTAAACAATTTGTTTAATTGCCAACTATTATTTGATTTAACAATGAATATTTTCTGGTCAGCATCGCAAAATAATTACAAGAGCGGAGCTAGACGCTATTCTGGCAAAAGAGAAAACAGAAGAAATAGAGGTAACTGTCCTGCAATAATAGTTTATGGCATATGCTAGTTTTATTAAAGCATTTCTACACGAGTCTTGTAATAAAATTTCGTCCCCCACAGTTTCTCATTGTTTAGAGTTCAGTGTCATAATTTGTTTCTAGATCTTTTTCTTGTTAATTTCCCCCTTTTTTTTTCTGATTCTGCTTATAATTCATTAACAGTACACAGATATGGATGAAGCCATGGCACAAGCTGTTGACATCGGTGAAAATGATGTCAGTCCATTCTAATACTTATATTATTCGAAACTTTATCCTTTTTTTTTTTTTTGTTACCCTTTTTCGCTAATAAGATATTCTGGAACGAGGTATTTGGAATCATTATGTTGGCTGTAGATTCATATTTTAAATCTCCAGGATGAAGAAGAGGGTGAAGTTGAAGAGGAGAAAATTTCTCGCAATTGGAGTGTTCTGAAAAGTAATCCTGAGCTTCGCAAGACAAAGGTGATTCATTTATTTGTTCATATATATTTTTTAGCCCCTTCTCTGGGTAGACATTTCACTATTTGTGGCACCATTTATATCCTCGTAAACCAGATAATCTTCATCTTTGGATGTTTTGTGGAGTTGAAACTATATGTCTTGAAATTTCTAGTCTATAGGAAGGATATCAAAATAGTGATAATCAAAGTAGAAAGAACACGGAATGGTAGCACTTGTTCCAGTAGAAAATTATAAACCGAGTAAATGCATTAGTGATGCAGTTGGAGATGAGCCTTTTGATGTTAGAGAATGCAAGTGGTGCTGGAATAGTCGTTTACCTGTTGGTTAATGAGTATAGATTTACTTAAGGATTGGATTGGTTGTCCTAAAATGTTATCTTTTCTGAGATTAGTACGAGAGATGATAAGATCTAGCGTTGTCTATGAATGTTTATGCGTTGAAGGCAATATGTAACCTGCATTTCTTCCTTCTCAACATTGCAGCCTAAACCGAAAAAGGAAAACATGTCTTTGGAAGAAGCTGTAGATGATTCTGAAAACTTAACAGACTTCCTCATGGACTTTGAAGGCGATGAGTAGTAACTCTATGCACCTCATGGTCGAATGATTCCCTATCTCGTTGCAGGATAAATAGAGATTCATCTCGTTATATGATGAATATGTAGCTTTAAGCGATGTTCTGCTGCACGTTTGCTGAGTTGCTGATCATCTGGATAAGAACCTATATATGATATGATACGATGCCTTGTCACTGAAAAAAAAATGTTATAAAATTTTGGTTCTTGAGACTAAGTAGCAAGGTTTCATGCTTTTATCAGAAATGGATTGTCTGATCTTTGGTCTTTCATGTAGCAAAAAGGGAGCTCCTCCATCATGTGAATTTAGTTCAGAGCCATAAACTTGAGGATTTAGTTTAAATGTAAAGGGTGTTTTACACCCCAAATGATTTGTCATGATGTAATGCTCCTGTGTTCTTGTGTGACAGTGGATCTATGTAAAAGTTTCTGCATTTACAACATTTATATTTTAAGGAAAATAATAAATTGTTAAAAAGATGGAAAATCTACGAAGGGCTTAGTTCTTGAATCTTGATATTCATTTCTCAGAAAGTAATGCACTGCAACCACTCCATTTGAAAACTTAAATTTTCTGATGTACATACAAAATGGATGAGATGTCCATGAGAGACCAGCGTTTCAATAGTTCCATTACAAAATTTAGGCAGTATAAATGAGGCAAGATCTGCAGGCTACCTGTATTAGAATTGCTTTACTATTTGCATTCATTCATTTCTGCTGTTTATCATTGCGCTATTACCACCCGCAACACGAGAGAGATGAGGATGGAATTCGACCAGTTTGACGAATGTATTCTGCCTGGGCAGCGGTTTTCTCAGCTTGTCGATTCTTTCTGGCTTCAGCTGTTGCCCGCTTTTCTTCTGATTTTTGTCTCGCCATTGCTATCTTCTTTACCATCTTCGCTTGAGCTTGTGCTCTCATTTGTTCAACTTGTGCCTGGAAAGATAATCGCATATCTAACGTAAATCAAGAAAGCATAATTCCTTCATAGTTATATTTTACTTGTAAAAGTAATATTGATAAAAATCTTACATACCTCTATTCTTCTCATTTCTGCTTCAAGCTTAGCTTTCTGCTGACTTTCCCAGGCTTGGATTTTGATTTCTTCGCGCTTAAATCTGAAAATACAATAACAATTTCATGAATTAATGGTCAAAACAGAACATTATCGGGGAGGGAAATGTGTTTACGATAAGTTCAGTGTCAAGAGACCTGGCATTATGCTTCGATTTTTCAGCATCCTCCCAAGCAGCTGCGCGTTTAACGAATTCAATCTGCTCGAGTTCTGCTGTGTCATCGTTCCTTTCTTTCTCGTCTTTGCTTGCCCAAGCAGCGATGTTCATTTTACCGAGCTGCATACCGAGGGATACGATCTCTTTTCGTGTCTTGAGCTTCAATTCTTGTTCTGATAGCTCCTTCTTACCGTTTTCTGATGAGTGGTGAGAAACGTTGTCGAAAGCATGCTCGATAGGACAGCCCGTTGGCTCTCCTCTTCGAGGAGTGGATGGTATTGATGACGTTGGGCTGCGAAGCGGGGTGGTTGCCCCAACGGGCGTTGCAGTCCTCGAAGGCTCTTGGCTTGGAATCGGAGTCATTTCTGTTCCCATGTCTCTCATCGAAACCGATCTTATGCCAGGTAAACCTATACAAACAAAATAGCAAAGTTCAATTGTTGTACTAAATCTATCTAGACTTAAGCATTTCACTATTTACCTTCTTTTGTACAAGTTAACCTCTCATCGTCCATCTCGGGCAAATTGTTACTTTCGGGACAAAGGTCGATTAAGGCAGTTGGTACGTTCTCCTGACCAGAAATAGGATGAGAAAACACGAACTTTTCAGGCACCAACTGTGATGGTGGCTGACAAAAGTCCACCCTCTTCACGGCTAATTTACTTTCGAAGCTGGTCGATTCTGGAGCAACTCGAACAATGCTCATGGCAGGTACCCGGTTTGGTTGGTTTTGAAAATGGACCTTTTTGGATTGATTAGCTTGCATGGTTTGCCTGCTCATTATCCACTTCTCGGCATCGTTCCACTTGGATGGCATAGGCCTTGAAAACGACCTCGCCATGGAATGGTGGTGCATCGATCTCTCCCCTTTATGAAACTCGAAACTAGAAGTGCTGTCGTAATCAAGATTTTCGTCCTCGTATGCTTTCACCGGGTGAACCGAACTAGAATTACAACCTTCAACCTTGGACACATGATGCACCTTAACATGACTAAACTCTGCATTATCTTTTGTGTGATGTAAATCCAAATCGCCTTGGCCCCCGTTTGGCGTAGGATTCCCAGACGATTTCAATCCCGCCACTTCGAATCTGGAAGCTGCAAAATTAAGGGAAATAACACTCACACAGAGCTTACAATAAGCACAGATTTCCAGCACTCAATTTGGGTACTAGACACTGGGTTGGGTGTTTTCACTTGAAGTTGCAAATTTTGGGGCAACCATTTCCAAATGACCAAAAAGAATCATAAATTGAAGCCAAACAAATATACCTTCCTCCTCAAAATCTCCACTCTCAGAGGCCAACAAGCTGTTCTTCACAAACTCAGAATCCCCAACTTTGGAAGGTGAAGTTCTTGAGGAGTTGCAATTTGAATTTGATCCATCCCCCTTCTTCCTCTGAAAGTGAGCCCCTACCAGCTTCATTCTCAGCTTACTTGGTGATATTATACCAGTCTTTATATCCAAAGAAAAAAAAAATCAAGGACAACCTTATTAAAATCAAAATTCACATTTCCAAACACAAACCACCAAATAAACACCAGAAAAGATTCAAACTTTATACCCAACTTCCCAAAAAATGAAAAGAAAAGGAGAGAAAAGAGAGTATAATCAAACTCTACAATTTAAAATACAGCCCACCAAAGAATAAACAGAAAAGATTCATTCCACCATTTTAGTCATAAAAAATCCTAGCAAGAGACAAAACAAAACGAAAAAAGTAAGTGAATACATAAAATGTGTTTGGAAAACTCAGATCAAGATTTGACTACACAAGACCAGAATTTCACCAAAACAATCACACTCAATCATTTCAAGCTTTCAACAGAGAGGAATCATACAAAAGGATGAAAATGTAATACAAAGAAACGACAAAATTCAAGGAGAAAACTAACCCCAAAAGAAAAAAGAAAAAAAAAAGTGTTGTGTGAAAATGAAATCATATACCTGAACTTTGTGAATCCTTTCGTACTCCATTGGATTTGGCTCCTCTCTCTCTATATCTACAGGCCACTGTTTGTATGTATTGTAGTGAGAGAGAAGAGGCCAAGTGGTTTAGAGAGAGAGAGAGAGAGAGAGAGAAGGGCTCTGTAAATGTTGCTTTAGCTGAATGCTGACTGCAGAGAAGTAGAGAAGAGTGTTTTGGCTTTGGAGCTGACGAGAAGAGCTTCCAATACATCATTAAAGGTCGGCGATCTTTTACCGATTATTTGACCCATTTCCTCGCCGATTGTATTTATTTTTCCCCAAATTTGTGCCCCTCCACAGTGCCGGTTTTAATTTACTCAAAATATATCCGCGTGGAATTCAATTTCAATTTATTTTATTTATTTTTATTAAATTTCAATTAACTTTTTTATTATATTTATCCTTTTAATAACACATGGATGTCCAAACTTTGGCACATATACCAATTGTCATTTCTATAATCCGTATATCCCCCCAAAAAATAAAATAAAATAAAATAATAATAATAATTTTGCTTTCCCAAAATCAACCTAATTAATTTTAGTAATGTTTTAAAATATAATTTTTTAAAACAATATTTAAATTGGGAGTATTAATACAAATAATACTTTATATGTAATCTCTTACTATATAATTTATGTCTTCAAAAGGTAACATATTTTAAATTTTAAGTTATAGTTTTATAAAATTGAAAAGAGTGAAGTGGATAAGATAATAACTTTCCGTTTTACTAAGAGTGTAACGGTTAAAAATAATCAAATTTTAAATTTGATTTTTTCATAAGAATTGACTTGCTTTAATGAATAAAAAAACACTTATAAAGAAATTTTTTGTGTTTCGGATATGTTTCTTTCTTGAAAACTCATAGAAATTGGCTCAACATATTTTAGGATAGTTTTTGTAATTAAAAAAAATAAAATTGTTTGCTAAAGAAAACACGTTTTAAGGTCTAAAAATATATCCGAACAAAATTTTGTCATAAGTATATCCGCAATTCCCACCTTCCCTTCTCTACTCCCCTAATTTTTAGCTTTGGATTAATATTTATAGCATACACTAGTTTTTTTACGCGCTTTGCGCGAATAGGATAATGCCCAATACTTATTTTTAAATAAGTATTTCAAAGTATATCAATGCAATATTATATGGAAGATGTTCATGCTTAAGTAAATAAATGTTGAATTTGTTTATTTAAATCGGTAATTTAAAATATATAAATGCAAGATAATATATGAGAGATTGATTATATATAACTGTCACAAAAATAAATGTTTGCAACTTTGTAATAAAGTTAATCTAAGTACTAAGTCTAAAATCGATAGTCTAACTAAATACTCTTTTTGGTTTAAATTTCTAATTCTCTTTTGGGTAGCATTGTTATTGTTTTCATCTTCAGTACATGTCCTTTTTTTCTGTTATTGGTAATGTGTCATGTGCAATTGAGTTATTGGTGGTATCATAGAAGAATTCATCATACAATGAGATTATGGTGTATGAAGTTTTAGATTTGTCTTGTTGTATATATGACTGAGATCTTAGTTGTGCTATGAACTCTTTATTTTACAAACACATGTTGATATTTGGTAGTGGTAGTTTTTCCCTACATGTTTCATGTGTTGTGGGACATTTAATTCTAAATTAATTAAATGCATATGTATTACTTTTTGTTGTAGCTACTAATTTATTTTTAAATTTAAGTAATAAGAGCAATAAAGTGGGCAAATTATGCTATGGAACTGCGTCCACCTTGCAAGGTGGACATGGTTCTAAAACCGTTCATAATTATGAATATATACTTTAAAAATTATGAACATATAGTTCTATAATTATGAATATATAGTTCTGTAATTATGAATATAGAGATTCAATAATTGTGAATATGAAGTTAAAAAATTATGAATATATACCTCTATAATTATGAACATATAATTCAGTAATTATGAACATAGTGTTCTGTAATTGTGAATATAGAGTTCAATAATTGTGAATATAGAGTTCAATAATTATGAATATGAAATTAAAAAATTATAAATATATAACTTTATAATTATAAACATATAATTCAGTAATTATGAACATAGAACTGTGTCCACATTGCAAGGTGGACACAGTTCCACATCATATTGAATAAAGTGGCATACATACTTTTCATCGACAATAATGAAATCATTGTTTTTTTTTTAATTTCCATTCGTTGTTGAGACAAATTGTTTTGAGAGTTTGTGAATGAATTGCTGTCAATAGATGATGATAATAAATAATTCAAAATATAATGTTACAAGAGATATTATTATAATAATATAGTAAAAATTAACTTACAAATTTCTTTAGAAGTTTTCATGCATTGATAAAAGCATAATTGAAATATTAAGTTTTGTTCTCAATAATCAAAAGAAGATTAATTAAACGAAAACAAAAACTAAACTTAAATTTATTATTTTTTAATGAAAAAAAAAATCAAATGATTTTCAAAGTTTCTGATTTATAATCATTGAATGTTATGTATTTAGTCGGGCTAATTATTTGACCAAAATTTATGTTAAATTTTATATTATATTTTTAATACATTTTAACATATTCGTAGTATATGTTTAACAATTATGCTAACTCTAATTGGAATGAGGTTCGAACTTAAGACATTTCTTATAGAAATTAATAAGTAAGTTAAGAATAATAAATAGTTAACGGAATATTCCGTTAATAAAGTTTATACTAACGGAATTTAAAGTTATTTAAGGAAAGAAAATAATATAATAAAGGGTAAATAAGGAAAATCATTAAAAATACTAAAATCAAAATAATATGAACCATTCATTTTAAGAAATAATTAGTACTGATATTTTTTTTTTATTCCAGTTAAGGGCCTAACATTAATCGCTCTTATTAGAATTGTAGATATGAAAAAAAAAAAAAAACAAACAAACAAACCTAGCATACCCAGGGCAGGTTCCAAGTTTGATGATTTCTTATAAGAGTTGTCTATTGACATTCTTGGATTAAGTTAGATAATTATGACTAACCTAAGCTAATTTATTTATTTGTGGTCATTTGTTGGCTAAGGTTACAAGTCAGACTTCACTCAAAGGTAGCGATATAGTTTTCTTGTAAATAAAAAATATTAGGTAATAAGGACGGGTGCCCAAATATAAAATCAAAATCATAGAATGTACGGGAGCAATTTATTAGCCTTTTTTGGTTTGAGTAGATCAGCTATGACAACTTATTTGATTTACCTCTTTATGATCATTTGTCAGCTAGAGTTACAAAGCTGAATTTAATCAATGCACATCATCAGATAGTGTATGCGATTTCTCATGTCACAAAAAAATATAATAATAATAATTATAAAATGTATTCTATGATATATAAAATACACTCAAATTACGTGTGAACCCATTGTTAAATTACATTACAAATCAAACTTGGAGATGATTCAAATGTAAATTCCCCATAAAATATTTTGAAACTCGTAAATGTCAAAACTTTGAATACTCGAGTAACCTACCTAAAAAATTCCCCATTGTTTTTCAATACATTCATGCATCAAGAGACAAGAGTCGCACGTTGAGCACAAGTCCCATCCAAAATAATCGAGGTTTTAATTTATTTTTTCTTTGAATGACTAAAGTACATCAAAATGTCAAATATTGATTAAATTGAAGGACGAAGGGAGTAGTATCTCTAACTTAATGCAAATGGACCGCCAATGAGTATTAATTACTTCTAAACCTTTACAATATTTTGGGGTCAATTATTGAATCAAATTAATGTTTGGGGTATTATTATTTTTAATGAAATTTATAGCATACACGTGCTATTTAATTATTTCAACTATATATAGAATTGAGCCATTAAATTAAAATTAAAATTAAATTGGAGAAATGAAAATTTTGTAAAAACTGGTTTACTAAATCATTTTGTTGTCAAATTATTCTTCATTTTTCTAGAATTTTGATAATTCATTTAACTAATTCCCCAAATTTGGAGAAATAGAGAAAGACACAATTGAATAGTAGATCCATACTTCAATCCCTTGCAAAAAAACAAAAAAAAAAAAAACAAAAAAAAAAAAAACAAAAAACAAAACAAAACAAAACAAAACAAAAAAAAAAAACTAACTTTTTTTTTCCAAGAAAAATGAAAATTTGAAGAAATGGAACGTTGACATGTTTAATTATAGCTTTAAATCATATATTTTAATTTATCATCAAAAGTATTTACATGTTCAAGCTGAAATAGTTCTAAATTGAAAATAAACACATTCTGGTTGTTTTCTATTGAAAATTTAGTTAGAAAGACTATTTTTTGCAATAAAAAGGGAAGATTGTGCACTGAATGCGATAAAATAGTAATTAGAGACCAAATATAAAAATTACCTAATTGTCGTGAACCCAAAAGTTGAAAAAAAAAACAAAAAAAACCCTCAAAATCTACCTCGAATTTTCAAATCATTACAAAATCAACACAAAACTTGTTGTCAAATTTATGAAGAAAATTATCACAATACGTGCCACTCATATCATGCATAATGTGATATTCGAACCAATACCAAGATTTTTTCTTTAAACAATAAACGTGTCCAGACCTTAGCCTTGTGAATGTTAATTATTACATTATTTTCAAGAACTCAAAATTTCAAAGTTAAGTCTACTTTAATTGGTAGGAATGAAATATTATTGACTATAGGGTGAAAAATATAGTGGCATGAATGTTAGGTGCATGCGGTTGTCTCAAAATTTAAATGGAAGGTGAAGAATAATGTTGGAATTATTTGGTTATGCCTGGTCACACTATTGACCAACTGTAGAAAAGGTGGCTAATTTGTTTGCCACATGAATAACACAAAAGGCGACATCCCATAAAAGCTTAGCTAAAAAGTAAACCAAGTTGTCATTAAATTCTTTGAGCTATCCCTAAATTTATTTATGAGAAAAATTTGTAATTTAAAAATTTAAATTATTCTTGTTTAATCATTTTAAATTTTGAAATATTAATAATTATAAAATGACTCTTTAATATAGTTAAACTCACTTAGATATGTGTTCTTGTGGCCTTGTGGGTCACCCATGGTTACAAAAATCGTGCTTAAGCGCTAGGCGGCGTCCAGCCGTGTCGAGGAACGCTGAAATCGATCTCCTCCGCAGCCGGGCGCCTAGGTGGCCGAATCCCAGTTTTTATTTTTTTT